GACCGAATTGCGACTCTACGGATCATTGTTGAACAATCAGTTGAGTGGATTTCGTCACTTTACATCAACTTCATTGACTATGAGGCGTTTGACAGTGTGAATAGGAGAACATTGTGGAAACTTCTTCGACATTATGGAGTACCTGAGAAGATCGTCAAAATCATCCGGAATTCGTACGACGGACTACAATGCGAAGTCGTGCATGGAGGACAGCTGGCAGTTGCATTCTAAGTGGGGATCGCAGTCAGACAAGGCTGCTTACTCTGTAGTGAAGGAGAACACGCGTGAGGACAACCAAATTGTATTTAGCACAAATTACAGAATTACTTGGTAAAATAGAAAAACCATATAGTAAATCGTTAATTTGCGAAATATCATCCCATCATATCAAACCGGACTGTTGCTGTTGCAAACATCAATCCATTGTCTCACATTTCATTGTTCATGCGATTTCTTACAAATTCCATTGTGTTCTCGCTCTTCCTTTCTTGATCTCCATCTTCTGCTGCCAGACATTACGTTCTTTTAACTCACGTTATATACTACTTATATCAATATAAGTAGCACGCACCACACTCTCCCCTTTCCTATTTATTCTGGAAGAGTAGCCCAAGACAGTGGTGGATGGTGAGTGCTGATGTTGGCCTATGCTCCTCGACGAGGGGTAACAGGCGTAACTAAGAAATTGTAAAGAAACGGCCCTGAAATGTGGATGTGCTCACTTTGTGATCCCAATCCCCACTGATTTTATAACAACAGGTATAATGAATTAATTGTCACCATAGTGGTTAAATTAATTGTTAGGTGAATCTCTTCAGAACAATCTGGCTTTAACTAACTTCACTGAATAGTGTTCTTGAGATAATGGCGTCATCCACTTCATTACGCACATATATTTAAATACCAATGGTGGTAAAAATTATAGAAAACTAAACAGAGAACACGTTGAGTACTTAAAGGTTATTAGTTTGGTTACTGAGAAACTCCCACTTCGTGCTCAATGCGTTGTACAATTTTATACCGATTCGATAGGTGTAAATAGTGACAACTAGGTGAAATTTCAGAATAATCTCCGTAATCAGTGGAAAGTATTCAATTAACTAAGCAGTGCTACGTAATAATTCATTAGTAAATGAGAAAACTGTTAATCATTATTAATACATAAGATTTTAAATGTCTCAAACCAGCTGATATCAGTTGAAGTATCGCTTCTCTTACCCGTCATACAGTTTAAACTATTATTTGTTTTTTACGCTTGAGGTTATTATCTAACCTCTAATGAATCAGCTTGAAGACAACAGTATTAAGCAAGCTCTTATTTCATATAAGGGAACAAAATTTTTGAGTATTATAGCCATTGCAAAAAGCACAGATCAATTAAATGGAAAACAAATCAAAGACTTACTTTTTACAGATGAGGTTCAGCCTTAACATTTCATAAAACAAATCATATTGCTTAGTCTTCACGTTTCCTAATTAAAACTTTTCTGGTGAGAAAACCATACAGAATTCTTTAAATTTAATGAGATCAACATTCAGATAGGTTTTTTAATAATGTTCAAATTCAACGGAAATTCTGTAATTTACTATCACTAAAAGATGCCAAGAATTTACCGAAACTTGGTTTTACTGTTTGCATTACCTTTCTAAAACGATTGCTCGATAAGCAAAGATAAGTTGCACCAAGATTTCATTTCTAATCTATTGTCCAGAAAATACCCTAACCTTATTAAATCTGCACACTGTGTTCTTATTGCTGATTCCCCTATGCGAGTTGTGAATTTGTAATCTTATGTCGTTCTCTTACTTCTTTACCACGTATTACCGTGATGAGTCCAGAACCCTACGAATAAATTTCCAGTAGATATCTTTGACTACTCATTAGTAGAGTGACATTTCCAAATAAGAATGAGGAAATTAGCGGCAATACAATTTAATAGACAATTCAAAATATTCACCTTGGTTGATCGGACTTTCATTTTCATGACGTTTATATATTTCACTTTGAGTTCGGAATATGAAGCACAATATATTGGATGCATGGCTGTAAAGTACACTAATGCTAAATAACACTTAAAACATCTTTGAATCCTTTAATAATTATAATCTACAAATTCACTTAGAACGTTTGGGATTTCATTATAATACCTTTGTATTGCTTCTGGAAAGTGAAGGGAATCTGACATGAAGATGATAATACGTTCTGTAATTATGTTTTCTGTTACCTCCCATGGTTCTGGAATTCAAGTAGACTGAAAATGTCCTAGCTGCATGAGCCCTTCCTTTCATTCTCTGGATTCACACTAACCTATATGACTAACTATATATAAATATATATCGTGAATTTGATTCATAATAGAAGGATTTACAAAATGAAAATGTTCCGTTTCTTGGTAAAATCCCATTTTCCGCTCCGTTAACACTATAAAAACTGCCGCCTATTGTTCTGTTTTCAGTTTTAGATTTGATGTGGTAAGACGTTTTGACTACATGGCAGGACTGACAATTCCTTTTGAATCCACGTGTCAGATCAAATGGTTGAATCCACCGAACTTTAGTTTTAAAAAATAGAATTGTGATATCACCCTAACAAGAGCTATAAAAGACGCTGTGCACAATGAATTACATTTTCCAATTCAAAAGGTATTTAAGGAAATGAGATTATATCTCTAACTTTTCTATAACAGACAGTAAAGGTACTGTGTACTAGTTCGGAATTTGTAGTTCTGTCAAATAACAATCAGGATGTCTTAACCGCATTCGTAAAAAACTTTATGAATACATTGGATGTAGCTTCTGTAAAGTATTACTCAATCCGTAGAAATCCATTCAAAGTCGGTATTTTCGAATTATATATACGTAGAAATGACCTTTAGTATTCTCAAAAAGTAATGCATGATGATTTAATATTTTACACACAAACATTCACCATTAAGTGATATGTTCAGTTGGGTAGCCTACATACTATAGAAGAATTAGACATTACCTGAATAACAAGCGTCAAAAAGTCTTCTACAAAACGGACAAATATCGACAATCTGTATATTTTTCGTCATATCCCAATGAATAGGAAAATTTTCTTTATGATGTTAGAGGTACTTCTAGAATAGCACCGAATACGAAGCTGAAGAGTGATAATACAACAATATACTTCCGAGCTACATTGCAACAATGTGGTATTCGTTCGAACTTATTGTTCGTGAAATACTCTATATCTTCCAAGGTGTTAGTCCATGAGCTATGATTAGCTTTCTAACAGATAATTCTGCATTAAAGTTCCGTCATATGAATCGAGAGCAGACTTGGTATCAGGTTGTAGTACATGAGAAAGTCCAGGCATCTGGAAATTTGATGAAACTTAAAGGGGATTCCATGACGTGCTTTTCAGTGGCGCACATACGGTCAACGTACTAAACGTACATAGGCGGAATCATTTGTCCACAACATATACAGGTACTCCTAGCAGGAGGACATTGTGGTGTGATTGTATCACAGTAGTGCAACACTCAACCCCATATATTCTGTAGTGAGTTGTCCAGTTCCCTCATTGGGATTATGCAATTATTCTGAAAAGTAAGTTTGGCTAGGTTGCAGGGTAGAAACAACTTATGAGGATTTCCGGATTACTAGTGTTATAGCTGACTACTGATTGCAATGACAGTAGGTTATCAACACCATCTCTGAATACTCGGATTTTTATTTACATTGACCATGTCAGATTTCATTATATTGAACGGAGTGGGATCAGAGTTACAACTTAAGCTACAAACATGATTTACAGCATAACAGATTCTAGCTGCAACAACGGACGCATTTGGTTTATTGACTTATATGGTTGCTTCTCCCCCATGGTACGCATTTTTAAATTGAATGTGTACAGATCTAGGAAAACTTGTCGTCTTTCTTCACAACCATTAGGCGTAATCATTCTTCAGCGACTAAAAGTAAAGGTAACACAGTATAGACGATCAATACAAGAAAACTCGCAGCTTGCGTTTGAGAGGACCGATTAGGATGCTAAGTCATCAACTGTGGTCTTAACGTCCTGTTGCTTGCTGTCGGTAGGTTAGATAAAGTAACTCCTACCAACCAACAACACGATGAGCGTAGTACTCATACCAGTAGTTATGTGGGAAATCCAATCGGACCTAGTCCGAACCACCATGAGTAAATAACAAATTTGACGCCCATTACATAAATGTCAGATACTAAAAAAATACTCCAAGATTCCTAGCCCTTCAAACACATAACTGGTGGCACCTCGGCCCAAATACTAACAACGGCTTTAGAGCTTCGGTAATCGGACGAAGCTTTTAAAACTGATGAATGTATCTAAAATTTGATACTTAAATTCTAGCTACGCCAACGGTCCGTCTGATAACTAACAAGGTCCGGATGTGAACACTAGGCAAATATAAGAGGACCGGCTGTTTTGTTAGTACTAACCATAAGGCTGTTTTAAAATGGACATGAGGCGTGGTAGGACACCACGTAACATAGTCTACTTTCACTAAACAACTTAATCTTATCCCGTTCGCAACAGTCGTGAAGTTATTGGAACTTACAGTAAATCCCAATGCCATCAAGGTTGTCAACCAATATTAGAACTTGGTAGTTCGAGACCAATAGCCACACAATAAAAAATGATTCAAATCAACTCGAGAAACCGCTCATCACACATATTTCTGCAAGAAATTCATTTGGAAGGCCACCACAAACGTTTTCTGACGAAACAAAGACCAAGCCTGCAGTGCTTACGTAGCGCTGACGAAGCCTTCAATTTTATAAGCGTCAGCAACCAACTTTACGCAGCAGTAACAAAAACTATGCAAGTCAATATCACTTGTCACTGAAGCAACTCATACGGATTGAGGAGAATACGCACTAACACGACATGTCATAGGTGTGTTCAGCAAGAATCGCAATGCCTAAATTCGGAAAACATTACAAATCTGACAGTAAAACTTGCAAGAACAGTCAGAACTAGCAATCAAAAGGCTTATAACCAGTTAACTCTTTATTAAACATCTAATCAAATAAACCGAATCCCATGTCTTCATCACTTTCTTCAGAAGGCACCTCTGCAGGTGCAGCTTTTTCTTCTACCTTGGTTGTAGTAGTTGAAGCCGGTGCGGCAGCGGATGTGATGACTGCAGCAAATTTAGTGGGATCCGCTAGGAACTCTTTTATCTGTAACGGAACAAGAAATATTTACTATTTAGACATGAAACGAGCAAACAACTTCACAGGGAGACTATAGTACTTGTCAACAAACCACTGTTGGGCTAGTATGAAACGTGTTCTTCTAAGACATTTCAGAACTGCGTATTACTAGATTACTTCAAAACGAAAAGAGACCAGGACATAAAACAACGGTAATGAGGTTGTAATACACACACATCAACAATCTACTAATTTGTAACCTGGTAGTGAATTAAGATTACTAAGTTATCCTGCATTTAGCAATGCCGTATGACTTTACAGTAAGGCCTGCAACGATTGAAAGCTGAAATACTCAAGTGGAGTTCACCACCCAACTTTTCGAAAACACAAGTACAGTCGTTTAAAAAATCACTAAACTAACCTGTTCGGCCTCTTTGAACGAGTAATCTGTCATAAGAGATATAGCCAACAAGTTTTTAAACCCGTTTGCGAGCACGTGTGGGATGCTCGCAAGTGTTGTGTAATCCAAAGCCAAGCTTAGGCATGCAATATTTTGGACAATGGCGGCAAATTTCTCGGTTATCATTTCAGGAGTTATATCTAAAACAGCAGGATCATACACGCAACCTTGCTCAAACACCTTAACACATAAGAGGGATCAAAAAGCTTACTTGTTTAATAACTAAACCATAAGTAAATGGATGAATTTTTAACATTCCTAGTAGTGTAGCTTCGCTCATCCCAACTTTCTCATCTTTGCGCACCAGATGAACATCACTAATAATTTCAATTGCTCCTCTGGCAATTTTTGTTGGTATGCTAAGAGCTTGGAAAAAAGCAGTCTTTTCTGGACCAAGACCAGTGTTCTGAGCTGTCACAATGACATCACACGGAGCGATTGCACCAGCTTTAGCAGGTGCTTCGACACGGTTTTTCTCAATTTTATCACGGACATCTGCAAGGTCGCCATTGGTGAAGACAAATCCGACATTGTCCCGAATATGCGGCAAAAGCTTCTCCAAAGTAGTGTCTTGACCCATTTGTTTCTGAATGACCTTCCTCATCAGCGTATTTTTCCCTAGTACCAGCTCTGCACTTCCCCGAAGCGCCATCCTAATTTGTTGCATTTGCTTGGAACGGACATTGTCTACGTTGACGATAAAACACTTATCGAACTCTGACAAATGTTTCTCAAGCTTTCGAAAGTAGCCAGCTTTCCACTCAGATCTTGATTGACGAACCATCTCCACGCCCAACCGCTGTATACTACCGCTAACCAGAACCGATTTAAAGAAATACTGCCCATGGTGTTCAATGTTTCACATTTATACAAAGTTTGAAATACTAATCATAATTAAAATTTTTCAAGTACTGGCTCAAAATTTCAAGAAATAAATTATCAATCTGCCATTTATTTTAGAATCTCTCCGTGTCGTTGATTCTCATTTAGACCATTATCAACCTTACATTTGTGTGTGAAGTCTTCCAAATAGTTAAGATCTAAGCTCATATTGCAAGCGTCATTGTAAGCTGTCGGTATATTTGTAGATGTTCAAAAACATTTTGCGTTGAGATTTTAATCACTTAAATGAAATACTGACAAAGAGCTTTATAGAATAGGAAAAAAGGTGGATTCCGAAAGTCCTCAGAAAAACCGCCTCCTAAAGGTTACATTCAACACGGTGGAAGAAAGGAACCTGATTCTAAGTAATTCACGTAAACTGATTGGATCCGGAATATATGTCCGTGAGGACCTCAGCCTAGCTGATCGTATTAAGAGAAGAGCTGCAGAAGCGGAAATAAACGAGCGTCGCCGAAACGGTGAAAGAAACCTCGTTCTTAAGGGTTTTCAGATTGTAAAAGTTCGGAGCAAAACGATCCCCAAGCCACTCTGGGTGGCAAGGGAAAGCTCTCCACAGACTTAAAAGTGTGCTACACAAATGCTCGCAGCCTACTAAATAAAATGGCGGAGCTGAAGTCAGTGGTGGACAAAGAAAAACCGGACGTTATCGCTGTCTCGGAAACTTGGTTAACGTCAGAAGTATTAGATAGTGAAATCCAATTGACTGGTTTCATAACCAGTAGGGCTGATAGATTAAACCGAAGGGGAGGCGGGGTTATTCTGTACACCAAAAGTACCCTAACCATAAGATTAGCTGAGACAGTAGCACATGTTTCAGGGACATGTGAACTGGTGAGATGTAAGTTGAAATGCCGAAGGCAAGATATTGAAGTAGTTGTAGTTTATCGCAGTCCAGAATGTGTAGCAGATGATTTTCTCCTAAGTAAACTTAAGTCCTGGTGTAACAACGGTAAAAGCCTTGTAGTAGGCGACTTTAATGCACCATATATAAACTGGGTTAACTTAGAAGTAGGGTCATCCATATCGTCGTTCGACTCCAAACTGTTAGAAACCTCGATTGGACTAGCATTATTCCAACACATTAGAGATCCCACAAGATACGACTTAAGAAACTCTTCTCTCTTTTAGATTTAGTCTTCACACACGGTGATGACGTTGGTCAAATGGCTTTTCTCCCACCACTTGGGAGAAGTGACCATGCAGTCATCTTATTCAAATTCATGGCTGAGATTGCTTGTCAAACAATTGCGCCGGCCCGTCCTAACATATGGAAGGCAGATATGCAGGCAATTAACTCCGCAGCATCGGCTGAGAACTGGGAAATTGACTCAAAGGCATCAGTACAAGAGGCATGGACTCTATTCAGGCAGTTATACAATCGGGTAACTCAACCATACATACCCTGGACTGTCCCAAAGAAAAAGAAGCACGGACATCCCTGGATAGGGCGGGATATTCGACGCTTACTAAGACAAAAGAAGAAATGCTGGGATGTTGCCATCCGCCTTGGCACAGCGGGTACGATGGAACGCTACAGATCGATAAGAAACGAGTGTATAACTAAAATTCGGGAAGCGCAAAGAAAATATGAAATGCAGCTGGCAGAATCTGCACTCAAGCAGCCCAAGAGGATATTCTCGTACATAAACTACAGAACAAGGATTCATCATTGGATTCCCAACCTAATTAAAGTAGGAAGTGAATCTGAAATGATAGAGGAAGATCAGGAAAAAGCTGAGGTTATGGCTGACTACTTTGGGGCAGTTTTCACTCAGGAACCTCCTCTAGAGAAAGAACCAGACCCAATTACAGAGTCAACAAACCAGCTGCTCACCGTGGACTTCGACCAAAACGATGTGCTTAAGGCTCTTAGCACCCTAAACATGGAGAAGTCAACAGGACCAGATGAACTACACCCTAAAATCTTGAGACATATTGCCCAATATATCGCAGCCCCACTGACTGTGATATTCAAAATGTCACTTGACCAAGGTGTGTTACCTATGGACTGGAAGGACGCAATCGTCACTCCCATACATAAAACAGGTCCACGACAAGTTCCATCAAATTACAGACCCGTAAGCCTCACCAGTGTTGTAATTAAAATACTGGAAAGAATAATCAAACGGACCATAACGGCATTTATGGAAACCAATAACTTGCTGAACATGGCACAACATGGTTTTAGAAAGGGTCTATCCTGTACAACGAACCTCCTTATAGCTAGGGAGCTCTGGATTAATGCGCTAGACAACGGAAACTCAGTGGATGTTGTCTACATAGACTTCAGTAAGGCTTTTGACAAGGTGCCAACTAATAGACTGCTATTGAAGTTGGCAAACCTTGGTATTGCCGGACCTCTTTTAAAATGGATTAAGGATTTCCTAGTAGGTCGTAGGCAAAAAGTAAGAATAAATTCCAAGTGCTCCATCTGGAGACCAGTACTTAGTGGAGTACCCCAAGGTTCCGTCTTAGGTCCTTTACTTTTTATAATGTACGTTAATGATCTTACAAGTATAGTACAGTCTCCAATGTTATTATACGCTGACGATGTAAAAATTTGGCGAGTAATAACTGGAGACAAAGACGCATTTACTCTTCAGGCGGACTTAAATAATATGATAAACTGGTCTAAAGAGTGGCTAATGCCTATCAACTCGGAAAAGTGTGTCTACATGCACTTGGGGGATTCAAAGGTTAATACGTACAACATAGGGGATGTGTCATTACCCGTAGTCCGGTCTCATAAGGACCTAGGGGTGACAGTGAGCAATGATCTTAAGACGACGGCCCATTGCCGGGAGGTCGCAGTTAAGGGGTTTCGAACCCTCTGGGCTTTAAAAAGGACATTCACTAAGTTTGATACTACCATGTTCACCACATTATACACATCCTTAGTGAGAACTAAGCTATTGAACTGCGTTCAGGCTGCAAGCCCCTGTTTAAAAGGTGACTCGGACATACTAGAAAAAGTACAGAGGGCAGCTACGCGTGCAATTCCGGAACTCCGGTGTTTATCATAAAAAGAGCGGCTTGAAAAACTGGACCTCTTTACTCTGTCCTATCGCAGACTAAGGGGAGATCTAATTTTGATGTACAGAATACTGAGAAATGATTTCGGACCTAACTTATTCTCTCTTTTTCTTCCCACTAGATCGGGACACCTCAGAGAACATAGCAGGCGAGTAGAAAAGCCAAGAACGAACAAAATACCCGTGGCATACAGGTTTTCACACCGAGTCATCAATACTTGGAACCTGCTGCCTGAAGCAGTGGTGTCCGCACCTTCAATTGACTCTTTCAAGAGAAGACTGGACACTCACAGAAGCATACTAGAAAAGGAATAACATAGGCCTTAGGCCTGTAGAATTATGGTCTAGTATGATATTAGTACTGCTCTAATAATAGACCTAATCCTAAATTTGTAGATTTGTCATGATATAACTGCCTAATCTATAAGATCTTACGTGGAAGTCACACCATCGACTACACCAACTCACTGTATCATATCAATTACCAATACATGATGTTGAACAAGGTTAGGCTAGAGGAAGAACAATATATTTAATATGAATAGAAGATATAAGGTAACATTCAGATGGACCACGCCTGCATGGCCGAGCCATGCCATCCGATCAAACCCAGTCCATTCAATTCCTTGTTCGCGCCTTCTCCATTGGTAGGTATTTCTCCGCGTTAAATATTGAATATCTATTTTCTGAGTAGTCTCGTGTTCACAGCTTTGTGGATTGTGTGGCTATTGTCCAATGCCACTACAGGCCTGTCCTTAATACACAAGTCTGAAATCTGAAATCTGAGTTCCCTCAGCAGTTTAAGGGCACATTATGTAGCACGAAAATTATCAGATGTGCCTCAAATCTATGGGACTCTTGCTGCCTGTTTTTCTTATATGGTCACTTGGCTCTCTGATTCTTCTCATGCACTCTTAATCTTTCACGTGAAGATTATGTGAAGTTGGTAGTATTTCCAATTCTTCCAGTTTTTTCAGCGTGGGTCTAACGTTATTCAACTAATGATTTCACTGAAATTTAACGGTCCTTGGTCTTTCAAGAGGGTGAGATTTATAATCATTTATACATTGATCTCCTATTAACTTCACAGTGTACTTGGTGATACCAGTTTAAATTTTTCAAGCATTAAATACTTTTGTAGTTTTCAGTTTCTTTAATATCTTCCTGACTTATGGCACCGATTGGATTTTGGTATCATTCAAATTATAAGTCATATTAAATTACTAAACATTAATGGGGCAGAGAAACTTCTTATAACCTTCTAATAGCTTATCAGGTGTAAAACAATTACCTAGGAATCCTAGTGCATTATCCTCTTCATCACTGCTTCCAACAACCGGCTATATATAACCATATGTTTAAGAATCTATTGATTCTTCTTGCTGCATTATTAAGCTAAAAGAGTGTACCACTAGCCAGTGTGATTTTGTACTATGCGATCTCAGTGCAAAAATATATTTGTGTCGACGATCTTGCACTCAGGATTTGAATCTCAGACCACTGAGCCGGCATCCAACGGTGTTAATGCTTAGCTTCAACTATCTTCCACTGTTTTCAGTGGCTGACTGCCTCAGTATGATCTTGATCTTTTCATGTAAACGTTTTGTTATGCTAACAAAAGCTTTTGTGTTAAAGACCGTGAAAAATGAAGCAACTTCTAGTCCATGTTTTGTTCTTATTATTGAGATGGACAGATAAGTTAGATTTTTTCAATTAACTTCTTAACACTAATGTTTTTCAGTTTCACTGTGAATTCGGGATGTCGTCATTGTTCGCGCAAGTTGAATTTCCTTTATCGAATAAAGGAAATACCATGTGAACACAAATATTGGGTTTATGAGACTCGCATTTCTGAACTATTTTAGACTTAACGGAA